CGGTTGAGTGCTAGTTACTAATATGAACTAGCTTAGAACTAGTTAAGCACTAATAAGTTTGTACATATTTCACAGACTTAGTGTCTGCACTCTACTAAGAAGTGTAACAACGTTAATTGACTTTATAATTTTTATTGAAGATTATGCTTTTTCAACTATTGTTTGATACACTTTAGTCGAGTTCAGGTGAGCACATCTCCGTTCTGCATCTTGCTGTATTCTGAAATCCAAGATAAGTAGACGATTACTATGGGTTACACCCCTGTTTTTGGAGGTTTTGTTAAGTGTTGAGCTTTGTGCCCATCTTACAGTAGGTACACACACATCCGAAAACATTCCTTGGAAGATAACATACTTATAAAAACTTATGAATTAGACTCATTAGGAATGCCATGAAAAGCAAACAAAGACAATTTGAAAAGCTTTTGTTTCAGAAAGCCGTTCGGGAATTGAAAAACAACAAACGGTACTTCTATATTCAAAATTATGAAAACTGAAAACCTTAGTTGAGATGTAATAAATCAATATATTTCTGTTATATGTATTTACTTCGCTTTTTTCCCCTCCCGAATAATTTATGAGCATGAGAAGTCGTTCAAAGTCCTCCAATTCAGAACGCCTCGGACTGGAACTAATTGCGCGGACTTGAAACCCCGTCCAGTCCTCATTGTCGGACTTTAAACATTACATATAGGAAAGATCCCGTGGGGGGAACTCCCTAATAAAAAAGGGCGGGGTCCTCATCGTCCCTTTTGGGTTTCTTACAGTGTTTTGGTGCCGCTTAAAGTAACGAGAATTCCCACCAACTGAGTTTTGTGATCCCTTTAATGGATACGACGACCCTAAGCCGTCATTATAAGATCAACAACAACCACAACTGCTAATTAGATGATTGATCTCAATACGAGACGACGGCGTTTAATGCTTGTGCAAAAACAAAAATAAAATCGGGAAACCGAAACAAAATGACCTGTTATCGATTGGTCCCTCTTAGGGGTGAGATTTCAGCACTGCCACGCCCATCATCTCACAATACAGGTCCCTTTTAGGGGTCTTTTTCAGAATTTCCGACAAGGACCCTCGGGAAGTCTCCTTCCTTCCCTATCATACGGAGGGGTTAGGGAGTGACATATATTTTGTCCCATCTTGTAGGTTTCAGAAAACTTATTGAAAGTAGACATTCTCAGACAGAATTATATCTTTTGCTGTTCTATCGCCATTGAAAACGATTTCTGGAGTAGCTAGCTGTATATGGTATGGAGGTCTCGCAGTAAAACATCCCTCTAAACCTACCTTGAAAGTTGACTTTTCCATCGCCATCATTGTCGATGTCCTGGATCATTCCCTGTATCTCGTCCTGTGGTAAGCTCCAGCCTTGTTCTTTGTAATATTGCGACCACTCACCCGCAGTGATGAACCCATCCCCATTGCTGTCAATCGTTTTGAATGCCGAAGCAATTTGCTTTTGTTGCTCGCGCTGATGCTGCTTGGCAAGTTTGAGTATAAATGAACGGAGCTCCGAAAACGTAATCTTCTTATTTCCTAAAAAACAATTCGAAATTCTTGTTAAGGAACACTATTTACATCTTTCGAATTCGCGAAACTCAAATCGTACGCGTAAACAGTCCTACGATTGTTGCGCCGATTGTTGTACAAGTTCTTTCCAAATTGATAAAGAAAGTGCCATATTGAAAGCTCTCATGCAATTTTTCTGCATTCCGGTAAAGGAATGGTATATTTTGTACCTTTTTCTAAGAAAATCGCCGCGAAGTTGCAGCTAAATTTCAAGGATGTTTGTTGAAACTCAAGCGACGATCGCCGTGGCAATCGAAGGGCTGTTTACACATGCGATTTGAGGTGAGCTAAATAGCTAAATGGCGATTGTCGCACGACACTAATAAATTGTGCTGTAAGCATAGCAAATGTAAACGGTGCTCTAGAAGTGGCCATTGTAGGATCTGCGTACAACTTACCGTCTGTATCGATAGCATTAAATGACTTTTGAGCATCTGATGAAGTTCCACCAATAGTTTTTTGAAAATACACGGAGTATTCTTGAGTTGAGACAGATCCATCACCATTTGCGTCCATTTCGCTATACATTGATTGTATTTCGTTGTCAATTTTTCGAGAAACCTAAAAAGGTAATAGTAAAATCGTAACGTTAAGAGTGAAACCAGTTACATCAGTTAATCTGAAGTAAACTTTGACTCATTAAAGTATGAATAGCCAGAGCAGCGCAGATGGGCTGGAAATAACAAGTATAGATCATGGCCATCTCGAGAAAACCGAAGGAGTGGCAAAAGAGTTAAGAAAAGCTGTCCTCTTTGCAGGTCGATACCAAAACAATTAATAGATTCATCTGTTTCGTGGACTAATTGTTAATTAAATGTTTTCGCTAGATTCTAATGATTTCACTTCTCTCCTCAATTTAATCTCCATTGATAATTTCCGATACAATCACATCTCAGTTAATCCTCCTGGGAACGTTTGATAATATGAACACTATAGATACAGCTTCATATCATTTTTTGGAAGAAAAAAACAACAATAAAGAATAAAAAAACGTCTTTCGAATTGAAAAGAGACCATCTACAGCAGCGTCATTTGCACTAAGAATAGTAATTAATTAGTGAGATTATTAAGATGATCAAGAGAGTTCATTAAGGATAAGTCAACCTCGTGTCACTAATTTTCTGTGTAGGGTAGTAGATTGCACAAAGGATGGGTTAAAATATTTACATCATAGTAAGCTTTTCCCATTAATGATGTATTATTGCCTGTAGAAAGAGCTATTAATGGCCTAGTTAAGACGTCAATCTTTGTCGCGTCTAATCTTAATGCTGTTGTGTAAAAAGATAAATTGAACAACGTAAGAAAGTAGGTGAAACAACTTAATGAAGTTTCGGACGTTAATCCTTCCTTTTACTCCGACGAAGGATTAACGTCCGAAACGTCAGTAAGTTATTCCACCTATTTTTTACGGTGTTAAATTTATCTTTTTAAACAACTGTTTCTTTAGAAACACCCACGCAGCTCACACTAGTTTACCGCTAGTTTCAACCATTAATCTTGTTGCTATCTTTCAGGTCATGCGCAGTTCGCATCTGACTTCACTGCAGACTTTATTTTTGGATTTTGTTCAGTTGTTTGAACTCAATATAATCTGGTAATCAGCAAAATTTATCTCATTTAGACTTAAAACTCTAGTGAACTACATGGAAGCAATTGGCTTGGACGTTTTTATTAAAAGACAGGGATCTGTATCTAAGACATTTGGCACCTTTACAGATAACATTTTCGGAAGCTGTGGGGTGAATTAACATTTAGTAACGCGGTTTTCAAGATGTCCCAAATTCGTGTAAAACGCTGCAATGGCCACACCCTCGAACACTAGATCACAATCACTTCATGTAATTCAATCAGTAAGATATATTGAACCAACCTGAAATCCACCACGTTTCATCATCTTTCCCAACATCAACTTCGCTGCTCTGGTTTGAACATCACCAATCGCTGACTCCTGCGACTTGACCGTCCGATGGATTCCTACAGCGTGGTGCAACAAGGCAAAAGCGAGCAGATACACAATAGAAGCTGAGACTGCCATAGTTTAACAAGGAAGTACTAACACAGATTTTTATGAATGTGTGGGGGGAATGAACAAAACAGCGAATTATATTTAAATCGAGTGAGTACGTGTACCAGTCGAAATTTTAAATCACACTCGACCCAATCAGCTTAAAGAGCAACTCATTCATTTCATCTCTATTGGCGTAGTCACGTGCAGACGCTTCAAGATAACACCTCAATGTAGCCGATCCCTRTTTGTGCGGGAGAAATTGAACAAAGGAAGTTAAAATAATGAAACTATGACATGGACCAGTTATAATTAAGGAAGATTTCACGTTATAATGCCTCGTCTAATAAGACGCCGACGATAAACCCTTGGATAGGCGCAGGACAGTTTCAGGAGTTTCTTCTGAGATGCAGGATAACAATTAAAGTGGCGTGTTGCGTTCCAAGAAAATTGTTACAAAAAGGACTGTAAGGGAAAATATACAAAGGTAGTAGTTCCCCCCAAAGAATGCGCACCTTTTGCAGCGACACACTCTTCTAGATTCCAAAATAGGAAATAAATGATTGAAACCCACAACAATTCATAATACAAACATTGAAAAAGGCGGATGAAATACGTTCAGAATAGACATAACGTTTAGTTCTGGTATTGGCACCATGTGGTGCCAAATGATGCCATATGGTGCCAAATGCCCTATTACTGAAGCAGACTGAACAGATTTTGTATAGCTTTTATTTCAACGTGTTCCAACAATATTCAGATTCATTAGCTGTTACAGAATCTTGGAGTTGAAAAGCAGTGCCCCTAAAGCCCAACTCAAATCAAAATTGCTCATCTTTTTCCCAATATGCAGAATGAACTTTTTCAAATCGATATGGTAACCATCTTTGAACATCTCATAAAGATAATTCGCTCTAAAACAGAGACCCTGAACTTGGTATAAACTCGTGTCTAAAGAAGCTGAAGGGAGACTGCAAAGATCATGGGAAAGTTGTTTAAACTTGGAAAAGCATGCCCTCTGACCATGAGATTGGATAACCCCAATATCCTTCATGACATAGTAAAAAGCATTAATACCGAAAAAATTCCCTTCAAGCTTAGGCTGATTTACAAAAGGACAATTCTGTGCATTTCCGTTGCAAAAGAACATCWTTTTTAAAAGATTTTGGCACTTAATCTCATTGTAGCCACCKWTGATTGTTATTTGACTGTTGTTATTGGTKATCGTTTTGGTAAAACCTTTGTTRTGACATGGGCTTACTACGGTGGAACCTATGRAACTGCTAGCAAGATGCTTGTAGTATGAATCAGTGGCCTCGCTTAACCCATATCCGAGATAGCTGTGCACGTAGAGGGGGTAATCTTTTCCAGCAAGGTTGACAGTAGCCGTTGGGGTTCCTTGTCCCTTGTTAGTAACCTGAAACATCAGCAAAACAGACACAATATCAAGCAAAATTCTTTTGTGTACAAATTCAAAATAATAAATCGACATGAANACAGAGTTAAAAATAATTTCGTTCCTGCACTGGCAAACGTTTATATGGTCAAAAACCGCTTAATTTTTTTTAGTTAGGTCATTTTTATTTTCTTGGAAAAAAATCTGTATTTCCTTCCAAGAGTTGTTTTTTCCTTAATTTCTCGCTGGCAACCAGTTGCGACTTCCTGGCAGCTGGCTGGACAAAAGAACAGATATATACTTCTCCCAGGAACCCGTCGGCTCCTCCTATACTTGTACTATTACCAAAATTTTCTTGAATTCTTGAATGTCGATAATGATGAAGAAAGATTTCTTATACGGCACTCAATGCCAAAATTCCTCGTATCCAAAATCCAACTGAAAGTTGTTTCCAGATTTTGCATAGTTTAAATGATGATACACCTCACATCATCTCGACAATTCATTTATCGTTAGGAGCTGATGATTCCAAGATTTTTTAAAAATCTTTTCAAAAAGAGACGCGCTCAATGGAAAGAATTGTCAATGTATTAACTAATTCCAACTGTGTTGCCCCACAATTGTGTTGGTTTGTTGTTGTTTCTTTTTTATGAGAACACGTTGCGTGCACGGAGGCTGAGAGAAAGTTACTTAATGGTGTGCTATATCACATTTGCGGCGAGTCAAACAGTGAATTCAGAATCAATATTGCAACCGAAAAAAATAACACTAATTTACGATTAATATATGCAACTGAAGAGAACTTCCTTTAAATTTTGTACAAACCTTTTTCAATTTTGAATTTGTACAATTTTTTAAATCAAGCGATATGTTCAATAAACATATGGCAACTGTTCGAGGTGTGTTTTACCTATATCTCAAGACCTTTACTCAACTATGTTAGCTTGCTTTAAGTAAATTTGACTTATTTTTCTTTATATTTTCACTTATGTCGATGGAAATGTACGTACTATGGTAAAACAGCCTCATACTCACCTTCTAGTTCCAGCGATAAAATGATGCACTTCTATACCGGGCACCTGTTTTAAGAATGACACAGAATGTTGGATAAGAATCTTTTATCTGATATCCAACGTCGAGTTGACGTTTAATCAGCAAGGTTTCAAATCTTCTGGATTAGCTCCGACATTGCTCAATCAATTCCTTTTGTGAGATTTTTATCAAATCTTAATCCTTAGATGTCTTATTGATATTTAAGTGATGGAGCAAACCACTTATTTGTGTACGATTCTACACAGTCCTGATTTAAAATAAATAATGGGAGACTTTTTTATAATTATGTTTAAATGTAATATAGAGATATCAAATAAATGTTCTTCTTGTTTACATTAATATATTTTGATGCCACACTTCACTTGATTTAATTTAGTTCCTGCCGCCACGTCAAAAAGTAGCCTAGCTTAATTTGCATGAAAGTGGGATGGTATGGTGAAGACTGCAAAAAAAAAAAAAATTAAAAAAATTAAGAATTACATAACAAGTAAAAACATAAGTACTTCTGCAGATATAAATTCGCGCTCTGTATTATCGCTATAATTCCTGATGGTGTTAATTCAGTTCTGGATACCCATGCATATGTTCAGCTGTTCTGAATCCGTGCTCTGTAATTTTAAACATCCATGTCGATCCGACAGTTTAAGATAGATGCTTGGAGTTCCTTCAGGCCTATTACATCAAAAACATGAAACCATCTATTAATGAAGGATTGAAGGCCTCAAGGGACTTACAGCTTTTTTAAATAAATTCAGCGCTTGTAAATAACAACATTATCACATGATTATGACTTTGAGTTAAAGTCGAAAAATTGTATTCGAACTTCAGACTCGTTTCCTTAATCCAAAACTTGGGTTTCCTAAAACGATGTTTTCCTTCCTCGGAATTATAATCGTTTCACTGTAATTTTAAATAAAGCCATTTTAGTTAGCAAAATAATGTAATAATAATGATATTTATTTTTTAATCTTTCGGCATTCCAGGTTACGTTCTTCCAGGTTTACAGATAAAACGCAGGAAAACCATGAAATAAAATAAAACTAAACACTAACAAATAGCGGTTTATACTTTTTATAGTACATTCAACAAAATAATACTTTTTCATTGGTCGTTTTCAACCATTCCCATGAGGTCTAAATGATAATAGACCGGCGGCCAAGTTGAAGGAATGAACAATAGATACTAATGAGAAATCCTTTGTTGAAGTTCCTCGAAGGGCCGCTGTGACTCGTAATTGGAAACGAAACAAAAAATCGCACGGAATTAATATAAGTATTTAGTTTTATTATATTTCATGGTTTCCTTGCGTTTTCTCTAGTGCGCGGTTCACTCCCCAATTTGAAATAGTGGTCCATTTTTCCCCCAGTTTATTTCATCGTTCGCAAAATTTTTGATCTAAGGCCTGTTTTTTGAAATCGAGAAGCCCTGGCAAAGAGGTAGTCTAGCGCTTTTATTTGTGGATTACCTGTGGTATCCTGTATAATACCACAGGTAATCCGCAATTTCACTAAGAGCGCGCGTCGATAATAAATACATGCGCAGGTCATTACTCTCTTCTCAGTCACTAGTTGGGCGATTGTTGGGCAGCTTATGCAAGAGTGTGCAGTTAGTCCCTCGTGGTAACCTTCGAAGTCGTTTTATCGCAGTCTAAAAGCTGTTTTCAACTGGCTAAACAGTCATCTAGCATAGCGAGGTCGAGCTGTTGTCCAAATTGGAGATTACTCCCACAATTTTCATCTTAAAATGACTAAGGTATGCCAAATAGTAGCCCATTCAAAGCGACGGGATATGGCGTCAGAGGCTAAGCCGAGAAACCACGAGGAAAATTTTCTAAAAGCTTTTTTTTAGGTCTAAAACTTAACAACTGCATTCGACTTCTGTTCTTCTAAGTAACTGTCCTTAGTACGATTTTTTTCTTGAATTTGGGACTTAAACTGAATTTGGGAAGCAACTTCCCTAACAACTGCTAGTTGGGATGGAACACTCCCTAAAAATTGAACACTCGCCATATAACTTTAATATATTAAGCTTACTCTTTTACAGATATGAAAAGTTTTTTTTAGTCAGGAAAATTTTGAATTGTTTGATATTTTTTATAACCTTTTCAATTAAAAATAATATGTGAATCATAAAAGGTCATAAAAACAGTAACACACAGCTATGCAAGATCTTGTGATATACAAAATATTAAAATAATTAAAAGTGTCTAAAAGTGTGCTGAAGCAATTGAGCTCTACAGAAGTAAAACGTAAGTTGACAGTTTCAAAATATAAATGAGTTTTAATACACATCTTAAATATTTCATTACATATTATAATTAGTTTTTGTACTGTGAGCAGTATGGTTTTCTGATTTCTTTACCTTTGGATTTTGCTGCTCTGTTTTTGTCTTGCCTTGATGGCATGCAAGCTGCTTTTCCCCAACATAAGTGGACTTACGTCACAGAGAATACTGACTGATGAATTACTTTTAATATTAAAGGAAACGTTTCCTATTTTAAGATCCTTGAGGTCTTAAAAAGTAGAGTGAACAATAACAAACCATGCAAGTTGACTAGTTTCATTACAAGTTTGAGTCCAATAATTTATCTTTCTTGTCAACAATAAATCCTCTGACATAATATGCTGTATAAATTATATACAATAAAAATAAGGATCGTAAATATTTACAATAAGAAAATCAAAAATATATATATTAAACATTTTCGACTAATAGTCATAATCAGAATAAAACTAAAAAGTGTACTGCTAAATCTTCTTTTCTTCATATTTTCATATTTTTGAGTTGACGTTTGATCAGCAAGGTTTCACGTCTTCTWGGATTTGATCCATCAATTGTTCAATCAAATCCTTTTTGTGAGATTTTTATCAAATCTTTACCTTTAGTTTTTGATATTCATATTTAAGTTAATGTGGAATAAATCACTTGGCTTCTGTACGACTCTACACTATTTCCTGATTTTAAATAATACTTTTTATAATAAATGTTAAAATGTAATATGGCAATATCAAATATATGTTCTTCTTGTTTAAACTGATAAAATATTTTGATTTATACATGTCATACCTCTACGATCTTGCATCTGTATAAATTCTGTATTGCATCGATTAGAGTTACATGCCATCATCAGAAAGGATTCTAACATCCAGCATCGAGTTAACGTTTGATCAGCAAGGTTTTATGTCTTCTTGGATTTAATCAGACATTGTTCAGTCAATCCCTTTTTGTGAGATTTTAATACAAATCCTCATCCTTGAATGTCTTATTTATATTTACATCACTCTTTACTATTTCYCGATTTAAAAGAAAATARTCCTTTTTTTATAGTCATGTTTAAATGAAATATAGAGATGTTCAATAAATGTTCTCGTTTACAGTGATATATTTTAACTAATGTATACATGACATACTGTACTTATTTAAATACAGTTCGTCTTCACAGAAGCTTATGGAAAAGCAGCCTAGTTTTAGCATGGAAGTGGGACAATATGGTTAAGATTGCAACCAAAGATACCTTTGGCTCAATCCTGGGACAATCATTCACAGATATCTGTCGTTGCAACCTCATCCGCTGGATGTTCAGCTTAGCTACCTAGTTTATCTTTCAAAATATACAGTAGTGTTGATAAACTTAAAAGTAACAGATATGAATTTTGTAGATAAAAGATGATACAATAATGAATTTGTAAAAGTTAAAATAGATATTTCTATAAATCCACAATAGGATAACTTTAAGAGGATAACTGCGTGTTAAAAAAAGGGAGTTGTACCCTGCTATAAGAACAAAGGTTGTGATTTGATGAAATAACACAGAGACAGACAATGCAAAAAGCAAAGATGTCCAGTAGAATAACAGACATTGTCTGACATATTCCTGCATTTTTTTGTTATTGTTGTTGTCTTGCTGTCTCAATCAATCACAAGCTTTGTTTTGACAGTAGTGGTCGACCCCAAAAAGGCARTTTGTTTGACTGGGTGTGTTATCTACTCCACAGATTTTCCAGCCACACACATATTCTCAAATCAATTTCTATGCTGTCATTTGTTCAACTGTTCTACGTTATCTTTGTCAAGTTATGTCCTTATTAGCAATTTTTTTCTTTTTCTAAATATGGCTGAGCTTCATTTTCCGTCTCTCACATTCCAGTGTCTTCATTGGCATCTTTAATTATTAAGTCTTCCAGTTTTATAGTGCGCGGCCCACTCTCCACCTTGAAATAGCTATCCATTTTTTCYGACATTGACTTCAACATATTAGCTTGTGCCTCTATTGCTACAGCCAAAGCTTTGATCTGACGCCTGTTCTTCTCGAGAGTTGACGACATGTCATTCAAATTAACTTCTTGTTCATCTGAAGCTTTCTCGCCGGTTGTAGTGGAAAAATCTTTAAGAGCTCCTTGGAAAAGACTAAGAATCCTTTTAAATCTGTTGTATACAAAAACAAATATGTTACTCCACTGCACATTTAAATCTTCACAAATGAAATTGAAATTGATGAAATGTTTCCTCTGATGCTGAAACTTTCATCTTGTGTGTGTACCATGCAACGCGTTGTAGGATATGGTTGGGAAAAACCATGGCGGGTTTCTTTGTTTTCTTCTGAAACTGATCATGCAATGTATTGCAAATCAAGTATAGGTGACATAAAAGGTTCAGAAGTCTATCAGACATCACAATCGTTTGMTGCGCTCACTCGTGAGATACATCAATTGCGAACTCAAAGATACAATCCGTATCTCCACGTGCCTATATACTCTATGTATGGGGTGTGTGTAAAGATATTGTATACTCAGAACTCAAATATTGTACCTCCACCCAAGGGTCTTTTTGTTTGGCATGACTTCAAAAATAGGATGGTACAGGCGTCTTGTGATGAAACGGGGAAACTTCTCTTCAATTTGAGCAACATATTCCACTTGCATTGACAGTCTCTGTAGTTCTGCACTTCTTTGGACTGAATCGATATCGCCAATGGCCAAACCAATCTGAACATTATTGAAATAGTGGTCAGAAGACTCTTTGAATTCCGGTGGTTGTGGGACAGTCAAAAGTGACCGGAACGAATCTCAYGATAGGCAGGTTAGAAAAACAATGGATAAGTCTTCCAAGCAACAAATCAAAACCTTAACGATGTATGGTCATTAATGAGCAATAAAAAAAGGTTTTGATGTGTGCTGTATTACTAGTGATTGGACATACACCTACTTACGAAAATAGAACATTTGTATTTAGTMAAARGGAATAAATTAAAASAAGACARAAGAAGATCACTGAGGATGGATGCTCTCTTTTGTCTTGTTTYAATTWATTCTTTTTTACTATATTCAAATGCTCTATTTTCTATGACAACGTTTCTGCAAGTAGGTTTATATTGTTTTCATCCTATTTCAAAGGATGAATGGAAGTTGACCATCTTTTAATGGTTGCCCTTCTGCAAAATCTCATCAATGAATGCCCATATCACGATTGCTTAACAAAAATATGAAGGTTGATACTGCACTTACCAATAGATTCATGAGAGTGATACACATTGCAAATACGAAGAAGGTATAAAATGTGAATGCCATCTCAGGAAAGGGATTAAGTGGATATCCAGTAGATTTTTCCTTTTCATTAATTGAATCGATGAAGGTTGAAGTGAAATCCACCTCACCAATGGTCATGGACAGTGTTTTCAGTAACGAGTGAGGAAATGAATTGAAGGAAGCCTGTGAACAATAAATACAAGAAACTTGAATAAGAACAAATGTTGATTCTTAGTGGTAAGGTGCGAGTACGGGACTCCATCTTGGTTAAGCTCAATACTCCATTTTACAGTTCCAATCGCCATCTTGAAATGTTSCTGAGCCTTTGCATCAATGTGAGACAGATGTTGAGCTTGCAGTGATAGACATCTGTAAATAATTGTCTTAGATGTGAACACAAAGTACCTATCACTGCAAGCTCAACTCCAGTCTCACTTTAATRCAAAAGCTTGAAAYTGTTTTTGCTGTTACTGGTCTCRTYCCAATTTGTGTTTGTATTTCTTTGATCTTTTCAATCGATATTTACAGGAATATAATTAATATTCAATAACGCAGATAGGGGCAATAAATGTTGTCAAATCCAAAGTTAATATAAAATATAAAATCATATTGCATTTCGGTCTAGCTTAAGTACAAACAGCACCATACAAGACCACATGAATAAATGATGTCTGCACTCGATCTGAACAGTGATTTAATRCATAATTATTTTAGAAAAGCCTATGGGGAAATCATATTTTTCATMACGTTTGAAATACCTGTTCTTTGAAGAGAATGAAAAACACCACAGCAAATGCAACAATGAACTCCGCAAAAACAAGCATAACCTTGATCAAGCTTCTGAACACAACCAGGAACATATTGATGTAGATAGCAAAGAATGTAAATCGGCGTAAAAACAAAACAAAGTTTGTAAAAGCAAGCATGATTGATACAAGTGCCATGACCCATAAGTTTCCAGGGGTTTTTTTAGCTGCTGCAAAGAACCAGTTGACAAAATCCCCATTCCCAACAAATGGTAACAAAAAGAGCAGAGCTCCTAAGTACAAAACCCATTCAAGGAGATTGCCAAACTGAAAATCAAACAACAAAGAATGATAACAACTACTGCTACATAGCTGCAAAATTGTCATCTGATGATGTAAAATTCAATAAAGCACTAACAATATATCGATCAAATAAGCAGCTTCTTCGTTTGAATTCAGTATTTTTTTTAGCAGGATGTATTGTAATTATAGCCACCATTTTTCTGTATTTTTTAATTGTCTGACGAGCAAAGCGATAAAGTTTTTATTGAAAGGGGTAATGTCAATAAGACAATTCTTTGAAGCAAAGAATCTGGAATTCATAAGCGAAGCTTCATTATTGGATGAAACACGACAATTTTGCAGTCCTTGGAATTTTCCTCGTCCAATTGCTTTCTAATAATAGGCAGCATGGATTCATGTTACACGTAATAATTAACTTAACATACCTGTTTGAAATAATTAAGCCGTTGTATAAAAATTTGGAAGACTTCTTTTAGAAGTTGGAACGCTACAAAACATAGGACCATCCATGCGATGTTGCGATTGGCGCCTGACGTGCTATAGATTTCGTAAACAGTCGTTGCATTCACTCGTCTGGCGGGATATTCTGCTCGCTCGGTGATCAACAAATACGAGTAGGAGATCATAAACCATGTATATAGCAAAAGACTTATATAGTAAAGATGTTTCCCAAACGTGCACCATTTTTGCTGCAACAATTCTTGTGTCAGAGGATGCAACAACAGATCCTGGTGCTGATTCTTTACCATTGTTGTGGGACCAAAGTACCGATTACCTGCGACAAAATCAGGGTCGTCAGGGCCTGGGTCTAGTAGTTCAAAGTCATAAGTAATCTTGTAGTCTTCATGTGATTGCACAATGTTAGTTGGATGGGTGATGCACTTGCTCATAACGGTAGCAGCGGATTCAGGGAAGTGTGTGATGAGAAGTTCCATTGGACGTTGACGTTGAGAATTGCTTTTTCCATTTAGGATTTCTTTCCATCTTTACATGAAGAAAATCATTATTATTTATTATTATTTGTATTTTAATCAAGTTTCATAACAATTTCTTCGAAAAAAAATTTGACGATTGAGTCATTCAAAGTGACACTGGACAGTTGGACCAGCTCCATTTCTCATCTCTCATTTCTAATCTGAAGGCTGCAATCACAAACTACAATAGTCTTCTTCACAGTTCCCTGCGCCATCTTGAAAGGTAGCCGTGCCTTTGCATCGAGGCGACACGACCGTTGAGCGTTCAATGATAGAAACCTTCTTTCACACCTACAGGCAATTATTCACAGGRATCTATCATTGCAMGCTCAACAGTTGTTTCGCTTCGATGTAATTCCACGGCTACCTTTCAAAATGGCGCACCTAACCGTTAAGTAGACTATTTTAATAATAATATGACATCGTTTCTAGAAATATTTCGCTGAATACCTTTCGTGTGCAACTATAACTTTAATGGAATCTCTAGCATCGTATTTCACCGCAGCCTCAAACACCCCAAAGTCACTGTTATCACGACACRTCACGCTGACATTCCGGTCCATTAACAATTGCACCACTGCACTGTTATTATTTCGTATTGCAGACAACAAAGCAGTATCGCCGTCTACACTAACACCATCAATATCGGCACTGAGGTTTAATAGGGTCTTCACTGTCTTAGCACAACCAGCTTCTGCAGCGAACATCAAGGGAGTCTTWTCCCGGCCGTCTTTACAATTTATATCCGCACCAAGGCTGATGAGCGTCTTGCAAACYTTTCTGCAAGGAGAGTGCAAAAGATTCCCTATAATATTATCTACATTAAGCAGTCGTGAGCTATTGAACATGGTGAAGTAAATCTGACTTGTGATAATGTTCGGAAGCGTGAAACTGAATGTTAGTGCAACGGGCAAGAACCTTTGGCTTTGTTGAAAATGTACTTTATTCGAGCTGACCATTCCCGTTTTTTAAGGCCCATATGTATCCAAGAGCCATTGCAAGCCTTTTGATCTCATGTGTGATTTGTCTTCTGATTTGTTTCAAGTCAAATATGACAAATTTTCGTAAACAAATCGCGCAAAGGTTCTTGGATGCATGTGCCGGTTCTTTAAAAAAAAGTCGCCGATATATATACCAACTAAACTCAACACTGGAGTGAGCAGGTGAGGTAAGGGATCTCATTTGATTAATAAAATCATTCAAACCTTTCCGTTCGATTAACGATGATTCCTACTCCATCGACTCGGCATGTTGCAAAAAGAAGTACTCACCTGTTCCCATTCAAAGCTGCAGCATGCAATGCTGTCCTGCCTTCCTCATCCCTGTCACTTACAGCAGCTCCGGCTCGCCCCAATGCTTCCACATGTTCCGCACGGTCAGCTTTTGCCGCTAGATGCATAGCTGTATGCTGATCTTCGTCTTGGAAATTCATTCGAAGTTGTTTTGTCAACAACAGCTCTAGGATCTGAAATGTGTACAATATTGAAATAGCACAAATAATTAACACAGCTTAAAGTTGCTTTGGAAAGACAGAAACCAAAGTTACCATCTACCAAAGTTGAAAGTGATCGACCGGAACGTGTCTCTTTCGAAGATTTACCAGAATGGTAGGGCTGGCAATGGTCCTATCCTTAATTTACCAAAAAGGTGCGGGTGTCTATTTATACACGCAGTCCAATAACAGGTTTTACGAAGGGTGAAAATGATATCTAAGGGATAGATATTATATTTATACTGCAGTTGGTAATCCTATACAGACTTTCTGTAATGATTAATCACCTTCCGTAGAACCGATCCTGGACGAATTAGAGAGACACGCCTAGAGAAATAGTAACTCATAGAACAAGCTTGTAGAGCTTATTTACCGGATTTTTTTTTATTTAGGGCACCTTAAAACCTATTGAGACCTTGTCATACTGATACCAAATTTTCAAGATATAATCTAACTTTTAATTAAATAAATAATAAAAAGGGCAGGTACCTTTAGAGTACTGCTCTTTGCGGCATAGTGAAGAGGAACCCTTTCAGAAACATCTGGTGTGTTGAGTAGATTCTGTGCTGCTGCATCAATCCCAAGTAAGAACTCCACCATTTCATAATTATCATTCTCCACAGCAAGGTGAAGACAGTTCTTCATATAGGCCTCATTGGCGTGAATGTCTGCTCCTTTATCAATTAACAATTGCGCTGAACAGGGACTTGCCTTATTGCTGGAAACCGCTAACAGAATTGGAGTGTTATTGTTGTTGTCACGCGAATCTACCTCTGATCCCTTCTCGAGTAAAAACTTTATGTTATCACAGTGACCAAAGCTGGCAGCACTGAAACAACAAGAGCAACAACGTGAACATGTGTTCAATGGAGACTTCATTTAAATACAAACCAAATTTGGTGGGAAAGGTGGGAAAGATCAAAACTAAGAAAAATATTTGATTTCCATACCATATCTCAATCGTATTGGGAAACGTTTTAAATACCATAAATTTATGGGAATAGATGGGAATATGCACCCGTATTTTGCTATTTTTACTTTCTGCACCTTATCTGCTGATATCCTGCACAATTCATGTATTTTTTTTTACCGTCATAGAGTGAACGCACTTAATCCGTGCAACTGTACAAAATCTAAGTAGTATTAATTTGTACTAAAAGTGGACCTGAAGCAAGACGATATTGAATGCTCAACCCATTTGTATCAAATCAATTTAATTTGCGTACCGCATACACGATTTACTAAATACAACTAAACAGCTTTATTTAGTTTGGTACAGTTGCACGGATTGAGTGCGTTCACTCTATTATGGAAAAAAGATTTCTACTTACTGGTGCAATGGAGTTTGACCAGCTATGTCTTTTGTATTGATATCTGCACCTTTCTGAACCAAGAACTCAACCATCTTTAAAGACTTTTTTGTAGATGCAGTGTGAAGTGCTGTTTGCTTGTTTTTAGTATTACGCAGATCCACATCAATGCCACAGTCAAGCGCCATTTCAATCACTTTAGTGTTACCTGATGCAGCTGCAATGTGGAGTATGGTGTAACCATCCAAATCATAGGTCATGGTTAAAAAATCATGTTCCTCGATTTTTGCCACTTCAAACGCTGAAAAWAAAATAGAAGTGAGCTCCTGACTATACCCATTTTCAAATACAAGCATTTGGATGTCTACCACCTCGATCACAAAATCGCTACAAATTATCGATTTTTAGACCTAGTAGGTATCCGTCTTCATTTTTCAATACCAACCTTTTTTCATGACCGAAACAGATATCTCCCCGCCTATGCCTGTCATTTCACACATGTTGTCATTCACCAGAGCCATATGAAGAGGTGTTGTTCTGTCCGCGGCGACTGCAAACACGTCTGCACCATTCTCCAGCAAGACGTCGACCACCTTCTTGTAGCTYAATGCTGCAGCAAGGTGAAGAGGTGTTCGAAGAGACTTGTCCTTTGCATTGACATCYACACCATTTTGCTTTAAGAGCAGTTCGACAAGCCTCCARTTCCCTTTTCTACATGCTAAGTGTAATGGTGTSGCTCCGTTGACTGTTTGCRGTGATGCATCGGCTCCTTGTCCGAGGAGAATCTCAGACGCCTTGTACCAGCCAAATCTTTTAGGAAAACAAAATTCATATTCAAAGACCTTTAGARATAGATTTGCGAATGTAGGAACGACTGGCACTTCGGGGATCACGTCCTAAACACCTGAGTCAGAATACTCTTAACCCTAACCTTATATATATGTCTTCAGTACTTGTGAGGATATGGGAGATATTTCTTTATTTTGAATGATTAATTAATTTCGAGGTATATACATAAAGATAGGATTATGCATCATTTGGTAATCTGTTTTTAAGATTTCTTATTTGATCTCAAGCCATTAGACCACCTCGGAGAACTTTCCATAATTTAGCATCATTTATTTAGCTAATCTCACTTTGTTTGCGTTAGATGTTGACATTTTTTCTCATTCAATAACAAAAGCCAAGCAAATAGATGACCATGAAGAGGATAGAAATATAAAAAAACCGTCTTAGGAATAAATGAGAAACTAATGTAAAGACACGCGTCGTGGTTTTGGYTAAGGATGCAATGACGATGCAATAACTGAAGAAGGTTCACATCGAGACAAAACTCAGGCAAAAAAAMMCTRCYCAGGATCAATTATACTGACTGGCCTCAAAAGCAATTCCAATTAAACATTAAATGAAATAACCATTAGCCATAAAATGTAATAATCATTAGTCGTAAATCCTTATGAACATTTTTCTCAAAAAAGTGACAACATACATAATAAATGAGCATTACTGTGATGACCTATAAGCCAAAAATTGAATAATAATCCAAAACTGTAAAAGCCATTAGACATAAATGCAATTAACCATCGCCCAGAAACGTATTGAAACTACCCTTAAGAGTGACTATGTTTTACAGCAATCCCTATCCCTACGCTTTAACACGGTCACGCTGCTAAGTTTGTAGGCTCCCTGACAACTATGTGCAAAGTTCACTTGCCAGTTATATTTTGTGATGCCCAGTTACAATGAAATAACCTTTGAAAACCGCGCAATTGTATTTAGAACTGCATTGTTTATGCAATGCCAATATTTGTATTTTCGGGATTTTTGAACTGTTGTACTTTCTCATCCAATACAATTAGGAAAATCCTGGTCAAATGGAGGACGTTCTCTCAAAATATCACTAATAAATATCTAAAATGTTTGCTGTTCGTAATGTCTCTTTCCTATTAAAAAAAGATGACACAGTCCTGCGTGAAGGTTACAGAGTGTTTTCAATTCAATTTTAAAAGGCCAAAACATTAAATTAACATTAAAATCTGAAATTGGAAGAATAAAAACTAGTATTTTGTCTGAACAGAAACCTGTACAAATATTCTCAACTGTGAGAAATTAAATTATTGTATTCTTAAAGTTGTTCAAAACGTTTTTTAGTAGTTTTAGGTGTTCATAACTCAGACTCATATAAAGTATGCCTCGATGCTCGCATATGCAATGCAAATCATTCCAAAAGTAGGCATTTTACCTTGCTGCGATATGCAATGGTGTGAATAGATCATCTCTTGATTTGACATTAACATCAGCTCCACTTTTCAAAAGGCTTTCAAYGGCTTCCARTCGACAGTATCTTGTGGTATGATGAAGTGCAGCAAAACCAACACTGTCTAAACTGTCTAGATTGTTATTTTTTTTCGCTTTCTCGATTTCTTTCGTAATGACAGAATGCCTTCCATGACGGACAGCGACGCCAATCAATGAATCAGTTTCCCCATCGTTAAAGTCCTGTGTGGGGAGTGTTTTTGAAAGTGAGCTTAACTCAAAATTATTTTGCTTTAGTTTAACACTAAATTTTTTCTTGCTTCGCTGCTTCTCTGATGTAGAAAGACCATTATTAATCCTATCCTCTTGGCCTTCTTTCTGGTTTTTCTCGTTTTCGTCGTTGAAAAATGATTCGTTTTCCATAACTGACTTTCAGAAAATCAACACAATTGCCCTATGATTTGAGAGAACAAGGGCTTATTCTAATCTTATATATAATCATGACTTAAGTGCGTTTAGTGCATTTGTTCTATCATAATAATGCTTCAATGAATATTGAATATTCATATRATCCGCACGCACGTAAGTGAATTAGCAAAACAAGGTACGTCTTTTGCCAACCTCAGCGACTGTTTTCAATTAATTTTATACATTAATATGATTTCATATCAGAAAACTGAACCATAGAAAAACGGGAGTATATTTTTAGGGTGACAATAAACCTCATTTTAAACAAGATCCYAAGTAATATCCTTGATAAAATTATACTTCCATGTAGACATAGCCATAACCAAGTATTCCAAAACGTTGAGTACTGCATTTAATATCACCAATGAAAACCATCACATTCAGCATCGTTGTCGTCTCTCGCAGACGCAATTTCCAAGGGAAGTGACGTCAGTAACTACGTCAGTTTGTTRATGACCAAGATGAGATTACTAATAAATTACGACAGATTTTGTTTGTGATTGTTGAAGAARTTAACTAAATTTAAGTGTTTTACCTACTCTGAATTACCTTAAATATAGTCGCTTTTAGTAGTTTTTCTTGATAATGGCAAAACATGCATGTRCAGATTGCTTATTGCATGATTGCATGCAAGTRTGATAAAGTACGCACCGAGGGATTATTATTCAAATTTGTTTTCGTAGCTTTAAAAAGGTACATCCGTCACGCTTCCCACATGGTGGGACACCAACCTTGTCATTCAAATCAAATCATCAAATCTTATTAAAAGACTCTTTATTAAGCATTACATCAAAGTCTATGGAGAACGAGGCATTTGTGGACCAAGAAATGGATCAAAATGGGCCTGAAAGTGATGTCAAACCAAAGAAATCAAAGAAGCAGCGAACCAAGAAAACATACAGCGTCAAAGTCGAACAAAACGAAGTGGAGTTGAACGCGCTTTCAAAAGCGCTTCCAAACCTTAACACTAGCAATGACGATGCAGAATCTTCGATTGGAGCTGCYGTTCGCCAAGGAAGACGTTCGGTAATTTCACGAGAAATCGAAAAAGCAAAACGAAATAAAAGCTTAGACAGTCTAGACGATGTTGGGTTTGCTGCACTCCATCATACTACAAGATACTGTCGTATTGACGCCATAGAAGATTTATTAAAGAATGGTGCTAGCATTAATATCCAATCAAGAGACGATCATTTCACGCCTTTGCATATTGCTACAAGGTAAGAAGCAGTTGAAGCAAACTATTTACGATAAGATTTTTGGATATTTTTTTACTGAAGTAACAACATGACCTTATGTTTATACTAATCAGGTAATGACAAACATAGATCCACACTTTACCTGCTAAAGTGAATAATAAAATAACAATAATGATATATTTATGAATATTACATATACACTTGCAAAATTACTGGCTGTAAAAGTATGTTATTGTCTCGGTTGTATCATAAGGTAATTTCCGCCTTTTTCTCACTAAATGAGACTACAAGTGGATCAAGTTTTTTTTTTTGAAAATTATGTTTATTTAGGGTTATTCACACATAATATTGTAGTTTTATGACTATCTTGTAATATCAGCTGCCCTATATATTGAAATATTTATATATTAAAGTTAGCGGTCAGAACTTCATCAGTTAAGACTTCTCAATTAAGAAACACATAAATGAAACATTAATAACAATAGGTTTGTGGTCAAAACTTTAGACTATGTTTCAGCAATTTGAAAAAAAGAAAGAGAAAAGTAAGATCCTATATCGTCGTTTTGGCAAGATTTAAATTTTCATGCACATAGCAGACAAGTTCGTTCTCCTTAATTGATATTTGTATAGTTAAAAACGTAATCTATTTATAATATCAAAGTGGTTCTATCAGGCGATAAATCTTATTAAAGTGGAAGTGCATATGTGTTTCTTAATAATGCAAATAATCTTTTTTAATTTACAGGATAAATTAATCTACTGATAACTTAGTTATATCAGTGGGAACCCTGTGACATATGCACGAGTTATATGTAGTTTTGAGTACATACATTATTCATATGTGTATGTATAACATAATGGCATTCTGACAAATGTCACGATAAATTTCCTTTTTTTATTGTATTTTTCACAGCACAATTTTTATAATTAAATTGTTGCCAACAGTATTGACTTTACCACCCAAATTTCTCATMAAAAAAAATTGTTATTGGACTTTTTTTATTAAATCTTAGCCGTTAAATTCAGATCTGTGTTGCCTAGAAAGTTTTCATTAGGGTCTAACCTAAAACATATTTGATTTTCTGTGTCACCTGGTCTTTCGCTCATATTTCCCAARAGACATTGTACTAAGTCACTGATCACACCATGCTATTTACATTAAAACTTTAAGACCAATGTTTTTTTTACTACTAATAAATTAGCTTTCAGATATTATGGCAAACTAACAAATGGAATGTATGAATTGTTTGAAAATGTGACCTGATGAAGATTTCTCGCGAGAACAGATTTGAAGCAAGACTTACAACTAATTTCAAACATCGGTCATCGCTTCATATAGAAATAGAATATATGAACTATTGAAAAAGGAATTTATTAAAGACAAAAAAATACAATCAAAAACAAACAAAACAAAGCAAAAAAAATTCGATCAATAAGACCAAAAGCTTTCTGTTTTTTCTTTTTAATGTATTCCTATAGTTTTATTATGATTTGTATCACACCCGTTACCATGAAAGATAGAATTAATTAAAGAATGACTAGGCGATATTGGGATCTCGACAACCTCAACTTCACCAACCATCAGAACTTTACCATAATTAAGATTTTAGAATGATCACACTACAAATGTTGACAACCAATTGTGAGGACATATAAAGATATGTTTGACACATATTCACTACTTCGGGGAGATGGAGACTTCTATAAATACAACAAAAAATGGACGAATCGTGTGCGAACTTCTTTACTGGAAAAAAAGTGCGCTTTGGACCTTGTAAATTTTATGTAAAGATAATGTATCGGTCCAAATKCATGTAATTTTTTACATACTTACTTACTTCAAAGGCCACGCGGTTTTTGCCAAGCTTAGCTAGTGACATTGCACCTGATAGATTATGTTGCCACTTGATTGGGGAAGGGGTTTGATCCGTGAACATCTGATCAGTAAATAGATCAGTAGACATCATTCTGAGGGTAAACATTACAAATGCATGGCAAAGCTGTCAAATGTCAATAATTTTACGTATTAWTTTTTTAAGATTTGGTTGGCACGAAGCAGTGGATATCCTTCTCAAATACGGTGCTGATCCATCGCTACAATCCAAGACTGGCCAAACGGCATTGCATTTAGCATGCAGAAAAGGCTGYCCAAAAACGGCAATGCTTCTCTTAAAGCAAAAAGGAATTGATATCGATGCGAGGGACAGCCTTCTGAGGACACCGTTACATAYTGCTTCGTCCTATGGGCACTATCATTTAATTATCGCGTTGTTGGATAAYGGCGCTGATGTATTTGCATTGGCTGCAGATAAGACGTCATGTCTTTACATGTACATGATGAATAACARTGGCTCCAATTATACCCACAAAGCTATAAATTTTATAATGGAAAAAGGTATCGAAACATAGAAATCGTTTTGTGACATACAGCTACATACACATCAAAATTTCCTACTCCATAACTTAGCAACTCTCGTTTCTACTGTCATGGAACCATTACTGATATGTAAACTATCTTTAAATACAATCACTACTTACCTCGGTGAGGCGTTGTCCAAACTCGGSTCWATTTTATCCCTTTTAYTGCATCTTTATTGAAACATGTTTTCCCAACCGCAGAAAGGTATATTGCTTTGCCTTTTTCACTGAAATAAATTTCGTAAGTTACATCCGAAACCGT